GCTGCCTACCTTCACATGAACTTAGCAAGTCCAGGCCAGTGCTGCCTACCTTCATATGAACTTAGCAAGTCCAGGCCAGTGCTGCCTACCTTCATATGAACTTAGCAAGTCCAGGCCAGTGCTGCCTACCTTCAAAAACTGAGCCCAGTGCTACATAGCTTCATATGAACCTTGCAATGCTACGTATCAGTAGCAGTCCAAACCCCATGCAATCCAAACAGTTTATGGCTATAATCAGGACCCATTTGGTCTTCTCCATTTCTTCCCTTCCCTCTGACCTTCATCTGTTGCACAGAGGATGACCTAACCATTTGTTTGGGGCCATTCTGTGAAACAGCCAGACTGGGTACTCAAATTGTGACTTCCCCAGGTAAACTGAGTAGTAAATGAGAACCAGAGCACGAGACTGTAAAAAATACAGCAAGTGAAGTATTAAAAAAGTCCTGCAATGGACCGTCATTACAACCCCTGATGGCCATAGGATAGCTACACACTGAAAATTAAATACTGCTCTGATCTGATTTTGATTAGAGGTCTCTGGTGCCTTGTGCCCAGAATTCAATTGTTATTTTGCCTCTGATTTTCCTGTTTGCCCTGAAATTCCGGCATTCCACTGAAATGCTCACACCCAAGCCACCGTGTCCCGTTTAGAGAAGCGTGGCCCATGCGTAGACCATGCACATTCTTCCCGAGAAAGTCCAGACTGAACTCTGCCCCTTCCTGCCATCTGCCATACCTGCTAATTCCCATTCAGTGGACAGGGCCAAGACGAGCCTGTGTTTGTGACCAATGGCTGCCCTCCTAACAACTCAAATGCGAATTAAAGTCAATTCGAAACAAAATCAAGCAGAGCAGGTATATTAGAACCAGTGGTCTGTGCTGTTATATGTTTAACATATAACATTTGTCCTTTATGGACAAACTGTTCAACATTTCCTCCTGGGATCAATACAGTACATCCATCCACCCATCCCTGTGTATTAATGGTGAGAAGCTTCTCTGCAGTTTTAATCTCAATGTTATTTAATACACGTAACTATATTTTTTCACACTTAAAAATAAAATGCAGTTAGACACTGCGGGGGGTCACTGAATTATGCCAAATAGTTTCAGATTGCAGATGGCACCTTCAAAACATGTCACTGATAAAGCGCCACATGAAGCATAGTCTCTATTTGAAAAGCAATGTTGCTCACACAGGGGGCGACAGGTGCTTCTCTGCTCCGCTGCTTAATCTCACACGTCCTGCACTAGGCGCACATTAACTCGCACAGCCTGTTTAAGCCAAGCAATAAAAGTAAATAAAACAAGGACACGGTGGCGGTGATCACCGGCGGGTCCCGCCGCGGCGTGTGAGACGCAGCGCCGCACTTTCACTGCGATCCGGGCAGGGAGCCGGGGCCGCCGCGCCGCTTACGGCTTGTGAAATACACGGGGACAAAAAAAAATCGCTTTTGGCAGAAAACATTTAACTTTGTCGTTAGCAATCTGCCCCATGTGGCACTTTAGCAACAGCCGCTTGTTTATTATGTGCGGCGGAAAGCGATTAAAGGAGCTCTTAAGAGTCACCGTGTTATAAATGCATGGGAAGACAGCCGGCTGTAAACGCGGCGGAATTAAAGCTCACCAAACCTAATACTAATACATAGCAATTTCCAGCTTGATGCTGATATCAAGAAATTACTTTTTTAACGTAAGCAATAAACGCATTTGGATTCAACCAACAATTACACCTCTTTTCTCAACGGACATCTGTTTTGCGGCTTTTTTTTCCAGGGCAGACTGGAAATGTACGCATTCACTCACAACAGCGAACAACAGATTACCTTTGGAGCAAAGACATTCCTCACCCTATCAACCGATTACCGTTGCTAGAAAAAGACATACAGGCTTCCTGGGCTTCTGACCCTAACCCCATCGCCTGGTTCTAACCCTACCCCAACACACATTGTGAAGGAGACTTAACGCTGACTATCCACTGATGACAACAGCAAGACATTCAAAACTTAACATGCGTCTAATTTTTTTTTTAAGGCGGGTGAGGAAATAGGACAGCCAAGAGGGACAATCCACAGAACCTCAGCCACCATAGTGTGTTCGTTATTAAACTAGCTTTACCATGAGCTATTTTAACTGTAAAATCAAGCCTTTTGTTGGATTTCCTCGTTGTTAATCCCCAAACAAACAAACACGCGGAGACACGCAAACATAATGCCTCCCACTGCAGCACAATGAAAACCACTCTTTCATATTAAACCAAAGCCTACTTCTAAACGGCTTTAAGGACCCAGCATGTTAATCCCATAAGCTGCCACAGGGATTTCTGTATTACACATGCAATCAAAATCACATCGGAAAGTTGTGTCAATGATTAGGCTGATTTCAGCACATTAACGTTAATTACACAACAGTCGGAAAGATCTCGGACCGATCTTGCATCTGGAAGAACCAGATGTGAGCTCAAAAAGAACCTGCTTTTTATGTATGCGGTGATCGCGGAGAATGCATTTGAAATAAATAGGTTTTCTCTTTTTTTCCACGAGTGCTGTTTTCCATTTTGCTAAATGAACAAATGATTGCTTGAATCAAAATATAGAATAAAAAGGCTTTCAGCATGAAACGGTGATGGAAGCAGAAGGGATACCTGCCTCCCCACATGGGGGATAATGCAAAACCTTTAAACACTTTAACTCGTACAAATTATAGGCCAATGATTTATTTTGTTCAATGCAAACACTGGAACATTTCCGACCGCCACTGAACCGAATACCCTTTGAAATACAATAGTTGTCCAAATGCTGGCTTGGAAAAAGACAATGGATTCAGCTTTGTAGTTCTCATATATAAATGCTATTATTACAATAAACTTTTTATTTAAAGGACTGCATTTTCCCCTCCGAAACTACAGAGAAAAATCGAAGAAACCACAAGACCAGGGGTTAAGGAACATTCACCTGGGAGTAATGATCTCCACTCCAGTGGCTTTCCGAGGATCTGAAGTTTACACGGGCTGGGGCATCCTTACCTCTATGGACGCGGGAACGGCCACACCTCTACGGACGCGGGAACGGCTACACTTATATCAGCATGTAAACAGCTATACATCTACCGGCATGTAAACAGCTATACATCTACCGGCGTGTAAATGGCTATACTTCTACCAGTGACTAAACGGCTGTACCTCTACCAGTGTATAAACAGCTATATATACTATCTGCTGAACAGCCCTACACCCTCGAAATAGCTGGAGAGTGCACAGAAAAAATATATTATCTCTGTCTAAAACAAGCAAGAAGGAATAAATTAGCAGCGAGCTTAATCTGGATCAATTCACTTAAGTGACTTAAGCCATTCAAGGAAAAAAAGCAGCTGGATAACAGCTGTAAAGCATTTGGTTTATCATGATGAATAAACCGACTAAATGACTCAATCAGAAGCTTGAGAAATCTGGTTATTAGTTATAATCGTCTAGCATATCTGGTATAAGATTCCCTGGTTTACCACACATTGTCATCCACAAATTAACCAGGTTAGCTGTCCCACCACAGTGTCATCCAATCTATAAGAGGTTCAAGCGTTTGCAGTATGTATCCAGCTAACGATGTGAAGAGGTTTCAAATCGCTCCCCCTTTCTGCACGTACCATTACTCGTGTTCCAAACTACATTTGCTACACTAAAAAACATGCAAAATACACATGCTCTTCAGAGTATAGAGTACGCACTTTTGTTTGCTGCTCTATGCATATTTGTTCCTGTTATTTGGATGCCTTAAGCACTGCACTAAACCCTCTTACATGTTTTCACGTCTGAACTTTTCCATTCACATTAATAACATATAAATGCCCCCCCCCCTTGAATTTGTTGCTTAGACTGTGGCTTTACCCAAAGCTGCCCGTAATGTCAGATATGTTACTGCTCTGGGGGGCCGTTTCAAAGCATATTTATGAAAGCAAGACATAAACCTGAGCTACAGCTGTGTGTCCTGAACAGCCAGGCTGACTGACCTGGACATTTCAACACCGTTTCTTTGTCCTACTAGGTGACCAATGTTCGATGAGCAGGACAGCGCCACATGACACCTGGTAGTAATATAAGATGCATACCAGAGTCTACTGTGCCGTGCTAGACTACAATGTTCCTTGAGGGCAGATGTGACGTTGGCTCACCATAGAGCCAGCTGTTCACCTGCCACCCTAAAGCCGGAGTTACAGTATTAAGAGAGTGATCTTCAAAAGCAGCCATGTCATTTCTGTTTATTTTCATATAACCAGTAAAAATCCGTTGATGATACAGGCACGCCTGAACAGGAAATCTGACTATGTTCAAACAACAGGAACCAAATATTAACCAGAGTTTTAACGAGAGATGCACTACAGAAAAGCAGTCAATGTATAGATAATCTTATGTTTGTTTGGTAGTTACTCTTTACAGTGAGATAGAAAAAAATGTCAATTAGAACAATATGTACTAAGATGGCTACCACACAGTTATTTATTAATCTAGGGGTATGTCTCACATAGAGATAGTCATCTAATACATGGTGGTGTGTTTACCTTCTACAAGGGCTTGCTTGCTTAAAGCAATCTTCACTTCCGATTCTAAGAGATCAGCCTTCTTACCCTGTGGACAGAAAAAAATAACAGGTTGTAATCATACAAGTGCTTTATCTAACCAAGGCACACGTGCAGAAATCGTGGGCTAAAACGACAGTCAGGAAATTGTTACTCGCAGGTCTACTTCAGTCGTGATGTGTGTCATGCCCCAAACGGCCACAAGGGGACTGCTGGGAGGGCACTGCCTGTCCATTCGTACGGCCTACACTTCCTCTGCATTCTGCCTCCACCCACCGGGCATCTACATGAACCCCTTGTCATTCCAATAAAGGCTGACTGGCTGACAGATGCGCGTGTGGGGATTCCAGAGCTATCTGACTGCGTGCAGATATCAAAGCACGGCATTTCATATATATCAAACTGCATGTGAAACTCGGGCCTTTTAACATATCCTGAAACCTGCCCTCTATTTGAATATTGGCCTGACAATGTGTGTGTCTGTGAGGGGGGGGGGTGTCAGGGTTAGGTCATGTGGCTCGTTCACAGGCTTGCACCTGACTTTATTCTGGTTTGTGAGGCATCTCGTTTACTTATTTTTCGGGACAGCTTCTCTGAGTATGAAAACACCAGTAAATCAGCATCGCTCCGGTAACGAGATCTTCCCACGCGCGATAGGTGCTGCACCACGTTGCATGACCCGTTTGGGTGAGCGGGGACGGGGAGCTCCGTGGCACGCAGGACGAGCACTGGAAGGGGACGCTTGCGTTCAGATGCTGGAAAAGTGCAACACAACCGTGAAGTGCGACTGGTGATTGTGGGTGAAAGCCTTTGGTTAACCCTTTGACAGCCAGCAGCTGAGGCGGTCGGCTGGTCACATCCAGGGCGCATTTACTTCATGCTATTTTCATTACTACTGTGTGTGAATATGTCATGACAGACTGAAAGGGGGTGAAAATATTAATTTTTCCCAAAAATTAGCTGTTTTTTTTTTTTTTTTTAAACCGGGAAAGCATGGCTTATATGACATTTATAGTTAAATTTGAGGCGTCAACTTTCATTGACGTTACGGGAAACAGACAGGTGTTATATCAAATCTGACACATACAGACATTCTTCAGTCAGTCATCATGTATTCATCCACAGGTCTATACTTTTGTGAATTTAAAATGAATCATTTAACTTCACAGCTAAGGTCGAGGCTAAACTAAAACTAGAGAGATTTATCCAAATACAATGGAAAATAATTATTAAATTATGTTTTTCCCTGCCTAAAACAAACAAAGACCCCTCATCTTCCTGGTGTTGCCACTGAGGAGAGACCCTCCCAAACATCTGCAGAATCCAGGAGGGCCAATTCGGGCTACTGGCCAGACCGCGGACAGAATCCAGGAGGGCCAATTCGGGCTACTGGCCGGACCGCGGACAGAATCCAGGAGGGCCAAATCGGGCTACTGGCCGGACCGCGGACAGAATCCAGGAGGGCCAATTCGGGCTACTGGCCGGACCGCGGACAGAATCCAGGAGGGCCAATTCGGGCTCCAGGCCTGACCCCGGACAGAATCCAGGAGGGCCAATTCGGGCTACTGGCCGGACCCCAGGCTGAATCCAGGAGGGCAGACTGGCGAGCAAACTTAGGACACAATCTCAGTGGCATTTGAATAAAAGCATTTAAGCGAACCCAAATATGAAGAATGTCAATTCATTTATCCAAAGCTTTTGTATGTGTCTTATTTGGCAGTCAAAACAGGAGCCCGGTATCTGTGGGGCCTGGTTCTGTGGGGTTTGGTGTTTATCTGGCTGCAGCTGCACACAGATTTAAATGCGCAAATGCTCACTTTCTGTGTTAATGAAGCAATTGTCCTTGCTAATACTGGTCAACCCTGACTGAATAACTCTTGATTCTCATGATTCATCACCCTCAGTAGGTATCAGGCTCAAAAGCATAGGACTGAACCTGTATCTATTATACTCACAATAAAAAGGAGGATATGGGACATGACTGAAGCGGAGCAGGGTACAGCTTCTACCCACTATGCAGGACAGAAGCAGAGCAGAGTACAGCTTCTACCCGGTGCACAGGATTGAAGCGGAGCAGGGTACAGCTTCTACCCACTATGCAGGACGGAAGCGGAGCAGGGTACAGCTTCTACNGAGCAGGGTACAGCTTCTACCCACTATGCAGGACGGAAGCGGAGCAGGGTACAGCTTCTACCCGGTGCACAGGATTGAGGCAGAGCAGGGTACAGCTTCTACCCGGTGCACAGGATTGAAGCAGAGCAGGGTACAGCTTCAATCCTCTGTGTAGGACCAAAGCAGAACTGGGAAGAGTATTTACCCCCTGTGTAGGACCAAAGAAGTGAAACGTACAGCTTCTACCCATCGCGTAGGAAGGACGCAGAGCAGGGTACAGCTTCTACCTGCTCATAAAGCAGTCAGAGTGCTAAACTGACTGAGACAATAGTTGCATTTCTACAACTTACAGCAAGTTCTCATAAGCTGCTCTGCAATGTTTATAGAACTGTACCTTGTACAACGCAGTTCATACTATATTATTCCTGTTAGATAAGTCAGACTTGTATGCATAATTCACATCTACACATGGCTCCAGAAAACATACAAACATTTCCCAAGCTGGCTGTAAATCAGTGGCCATTAGGAGGCAGCGTGAACACGGGGCGTGTGCTTCTCCATCTGCTCCACGCCATTTCCCTTCAGCCGGCAATGCCATGGTCGTCACGCTGGAATCAGAGACGGGCCCGGACTCGGCAACAGAACAGAGCCGCTCAGAGAAGCTCCCCAGCGCTCCTAATGGACAGGCTTTTAGGCACTTCAAGCCACTCGCTGAGAAGAGGAGCGCATGAATATTTAAGACAGGCAGACGTTATTCCATCAATTAGCCCGAGTATGCTTCATACGATATGTGTGGCTATTCCACAGATGCCCCCAGCCAACTGCAACGTGCCATTACCATATTAATTTATGCTCAATTTCTCCATCATCAATTGGACGGGCCACCGATTTACCCCCGTCCCCGAAAAATGAGCCCTCGCTCTACCTCGGTTCTCTACTGGCTCACAAATGGATCTCAAAAAGAAAAAAAATGAAAAATACGAGACTCACCATGCTGTATGTGAGGAAGTGAGGGCGAGGGAAAAATGCAGAGAGAGCAGTGACTGATATCTACACCCCGCGTATTTGTGTTTGTTTTTAGGGTGTGTGCTTAAGATTTTCCATGTCACTGTCTGCTCCGAAATACAGGAAAATCTAAAAAGTGAGTCACTTCGAAACAAATGTAGCTGTTTACAAGTGATTCACAAAAGGGCTGATTGTACAGCTTCTCTCTTTGTACTCTTATTAACACAGAGCGATACAATGAAAACATACATGTCGTAAAACAGCCTCAAAGGAAGAGAGAGAAAAAAAACAGGCCAAGCGTTTGTCAAGGCGAGCTTTTGGCATGGTGGGGTGCACCCGCATTTACTGTAAACAAAGGCACTTTCCAGGCCCCCGGCAGACGCAAACAGCGCCCCAACACCCAACTCCTCTGGACGTTTAAAAGCTGAAATTGCAAGACCGCAGCCCGTCCCACGTCAGGATCCGGGACGCTTTTTTTTTTCCATTTTTCTTTTTTTCCGGACCTGCCTTCACGTTCTGCTGAGCTAGAAACAAAGTACACAGAGTACACAGGGAGCGCTTTTTAATACCAAGGAAGGGGAATTCCTGGCCGAGCCCAAAACAAACAGGCCGCACATTTCTCCGCACTGTTTAAATGTTCTCCGGCAGACAGCACACCCGCGGCAGAATGGGCCCCGTCACCATTCCCAGACACGGCGGCATGGGTGCGAGAAAAGAGCAAACAGGGAAAAGGGCAGTGCGCTCTAACCCTCCTCCAGTAGGACCGAACAGAGGAAAGTTTCAGCTAAGTCTGCAACCCCGTGACTATCCAGCAGCTCATCACAGCAGCATGTCACACAGCGCTACTTTTAGAGATAAATCCCCCCTCCCTGAATGTAACCTGTGTGTCCCCCTCCAGCTCTCTCCTCTCACCTGACAGAAACCCACCGTGATATTAACATCGATAGCACGGCAGTCACGGGGGGCACGGTGAGAGCACCGGGTTCGTCTGCGGTCCGCGAAGGTCCCTCTCGCCAGACACCGGGGCAACGTCCGGACAGCTGGACGGCTGAAGGCAGGGGTGCTGCCCCCCCCCCCCCATAAAGCGGACTCCTCAGCCAGCTGCTCCTCTAGCAGGGACAGGAGGATGTAAAGCGAGGCGCACGCCTACACGCACATCCGAAGGAGGAGGCAAAATATACAGAGTGAAGAGCATGAAAGCGGGTGAAGAGAAGACCGTCTGACTTACCCATGAACAGTGAAAGTCAGGTCTGAGAAAACAAAGCAAAAAGTAAATCCCCCGCGTTCAAAAAACAGCACGACGAGCTTGATGTGTGGGTCCGCAGAGGGGAGGCGTGCAGCGGCTGCTGGGGCCCGACAGAGCCTGAGGAACTGCAGCTATGTGGTCTAAACACAACAAAAGCCGAAGCCTCGCAGTGTCGAGATTAAATATGCAGGAAGAGGCCCTTTGCATAAACACAAACACTCTGCAAATGAACAACTGGCAGGAGCAAGCGGCCGCTGCGGGTCCTACCTGTGCAAGGCTGCTTTTTAATTAAATAGAGCACCTGGTGCCCTCATAATGGGGCAGAAAGAAGCAAACAGGAGCTCTGTGTGTGCGTGTGTGTGTGTGTGTGTGTTTTACACAGCAGTCTTTAATAAACGCCCGTGCATTCGCAAACATATTCCTAAGGGGTGCGAAATCTGTTCGCCAAGTCGTTCCAAGTCCTTGAAAAACACTTGTTAAAGCGATACGGCTAAATCCTCCGCGGAGTTGCACGCAGAGGTGGGAGTTTATGGCCCGCCGTCCCCTCCTACCTTTACGGCTATTGCGCAGGTTTCCTCAGTTACCCGGAAAAAAAGAAGGAAGAAAGGAAAAATGCGTCTGGATTTTAACGCCTGCGTGGTGACGCATTCAGCCAGTGCACAGGGACAGAACTCCATTACAACACA